TGTCTGGAGATTCGTACTTCACCCCAATTTACCGTTGTCAGGCCTACAACAAGAAGAAATAAATCCACTCAACCTATTTTACCAGAATGAAATATGGAATCACATCAATTCAAGGAATCTCATGGTTTTTCCAAGCTGCGAGGGTTATGAAGTTGTAAGACAAGCATTTCAAAGGGAAAACAAAGGTCAACTTATCAACTATTGTAAAGTTTGGAATGCTGCCTCAGCTGACCATTTGAAATTAAAGATAGAAAGCACATAATAGTGTCCTATAAAAGAAATTAGCATCATTATTGTGCAGTGCCCGGATTCACAATTCCCATTTCTCGTTACACACACTTCACCCCTTTCCCACCCTAATTAATAAATGGGACATTTAAATAATTATTGAAAGTTGTAGGCAAGTATCAAATTTTCATTTTCAAACAGTCGACCATTTCTATTTTCATAGAAATTGAAATGAATCAATGATTGAATTGAAATTTCGATACTTCATGGTATTTTGAAATGTTACGGTATGTTTCCACAAAAGTTTAGGAATGCGTCGAGGTGTTTCAAGATGTTTCAGTGTATTTTGGCCAATGTTTTAGAAATAAATTCTTAAATTCTTTCTATTTTCGACACATTTTCAAGTGTTTCCGTTTTATAGATAATCAAAACAATACACCAAAATAAAATTTTGATCATTGATTGTGGGGCATAAAAACTAATTTTTTTGAAATAAATGGTGGTTAGTTGGTAAGAAAGTAGAAGAGTGGTAATAAGAGCCAAGTATTGAATCGTAATCGGCGAAAACCTTAGTAATGTAGATCATATTAGGGAAGAATTAGGGATGAGAAGAAAAGAAGAAAGGGATGAGAAAAGAAGAAGGGGATGAGAATAGAGAGAGAATTTTAGAAAGAAGATTCAATATCAATAATCAATAATCAAAGTCTAGTCCCTTAACAAATATGTATCCCCTATATATATATAAAGAATTCACAAATCCTATATATACAACGAAATCACAAACCCTAAAATAAATAAATAATCAAAATGACAACTAAACCCTTAAAAGTTAAAAAAAATTACTTAAAATCTAAATATTAAAAGTATATAAATAACTATCATAATTAATCTATAATATCTATCCAATTCCTACACGATCCCCATCATTCTCCTCCGGAGAGTCTTCAAAGTAGAACTACCCCAAGAGAGCAGGATGAAGATGACATAATGCCTCATCTAGAATGAAAGAACTATCGACTTCTTTCCATCGACCAGGATAAATGCAAGAATTTCTATCTGTATGAACACCTGTGAATAAAATAGGAGGCTCTAGAGTACCTCGATTAAGCAACATGTCCTCCCNTATCTGTATGAACACCTGTGAATAAAATAGGAGGCTCTAGAGTACCTCGATTAAGCAGCATGTCCTCCTAATAAAAATCTAGACTAATACTAACATTCAATGAAAAATTAAGCAAATAAGCATTAGATCCAAACTCAATAATAGTAAAATAATTCTCATTAGATTTGAACAATAGGCATTCAATGGGATAAGACATCAGTGACAAAGGAGTAACTATAACACCCTAGTGCTGAAAATAAGAAAGTACAGACTCAATTGAACACTTGACAGTAGGCAAAGAATCAAAGTTAACACTCTCAAGTGAGGCAGAATACAAAACAATGTCAACAATCTTAGATTGGGAAAAATCTGCAACAAAGTCATGATGACTTANAAATAAGAAAGTACAGACTCAATTGAACACTTGACAGTAGGCAAAGAATCAAAGTTAGCACTCTCAAGTGAGGCAGAATACAAAACAATGTCAACAATCTTAGATTGGGAAGAATCTGCAACAAAGTCATGATGACTTGGACAAGTAGACATAGAATAGTCACTATTAGATTCTGTAATAAATGACTCGATTGGTTTAATATCTTGCATAGGTGTAGACTCAATAGACTTTTCCACAATTTTCAAGATCAATGATAGTTCAAGAATTGACACAAACAAAGACTCACACACACTTTCTTTCGAAATGGACTCTTGTGGGTGCAAAAGAGGAAGACTCTAATATGACAAAACTAAATGAGGGAGTTGGAAGTCCATATGAGTAACATTTTTCTCTTTATCTGATACTAAAATATTTAAATTCTTTGTCACATTCGAATTAGGAAAGCATGCAGAAACAACAACATGGACATCGTTTAAGTAATCATCATACTCATATGTGATGGAATTAAAATTGGAAGATGTCCCTATCAGCAGGCTGNCTAAATGAGGGAGTTGGAAGTCCATATGAGTAACATTTTTCTCTTTATCTGATACTAAAATATTTAAATTCTTTGTCACATTCGAATTAGGAAAGCATGCAGAAACAACAACATGGACATCGTTTAAGTAATCATCATACTCATATGTGATGGAATTCAAATTGGAAGGTGTCCCTATCAGCAGGCTANTGGGTGCAAAAGAGGAAGACTCTAATATGACAAAACTAAATGAGGGAGTTGGAAGTCCATATGAGTAACATTTTTCTCTTTATCTGATACTAAAATATTTAAATTCTTTGTCACATTCGAATTAGGAAAGCATGCAGAAACAACAACATGGACATCGTTTAAGTAATCATCATACTCATATGTGATGGAATTAAAATTGGAAGATGTCCCTATCAGCAGGCTGTGATTGAGAACTCATCAAGGTATAGTTGGATTTTTTATGAAATCTCTCAACCTTTAGAGCATATTGATAGACTGCAACTAACGTATTAAAAGTGTATTGTTTAACCTCCCTACTAATTTTTTGTCTCAACCCAAAAATAAACTGATCAATTGTCCAAGGTTCTTGAACAATGTCACACAAGTACATGAGATAATCAAACTGAACAAAGTAATCAGAGACACTAGAAGAATANTATCAGCAGGCTGTGATTGAGAACTCATCAAGGTATAGTTGGATTTTTTATGAAATCTCTCAACCTTTAGAGCATATTGATAGACTGCAACTAACGTATTAAAAGTGTATTGTTTAACCTCCCTACTAATTTTTTGTCTCAACCCAAAAATAAACTGATCAATTGTCCAAGGTTCTTGAACAATGTCACACAAGTACATGAGATAATCAAACTGAACAAAGTAATCAGAGACACTAGAAGAATATTGTCTAAGATTGAGTCATTGGTCATAAACTTGATCCATATAGGAAGTAGGCAAATACTTCTCTTTCAATTTATATCTCATTTCAACCCAAGTGATAGGTGATTCTCCTAAGGGGTCTAGACTTCTTTGGATTGTTTGTCAATACTTCTTGGCGGAACCTTCCAATATCAATTTAGCAAAACGAACACAATGGGAATCCGACATGTCATGCCAATCAAAATATTCTTCTAAATTTGCTAACCAATTCAATAATTAATTAGGATCCGGAGTACCACAAAATGTAGAAGGATCTTTGATTCGTTTGGTCATATGGGTTGACTCTATGTAAACATTCTTTGACTTCCTATGATAATGACATTGAGGAGAGATTCTTGAAACATGCGTATTAGAGAAACTCATGAGTGACTCTTGGAACAAGGGAATGGCGCCAAAACAAGTTCAAGAATGTAATTGACAAATAATTTGGATCCTTCGCAAATTTTTTTAATTTTTCAATGAATAAAAATATCAGTTTCAAATTTCTATAGGAGTATGCATACCATAATCAAGAGGAAATTCTGAAACTTTTTAGGAATGATTCTACAATTTTATAGATCTGTTGGGAATATTTTTTGTAATTCTGGAGCTTCTGGGGGGGAGATTCTGTAATTTCTGAAACTTCTAGTGATAATTCTGTAATTTCTAAAATTTTCTGGTAGTGATACTACAACTTCTGAAATTTTTTGGGGTGTTTCTTTAATTTTTGAAGACCTCTTGGGATGTGTCTGCAATTTTTGGGACTTATGGAGATGTTTCTGTAATTTGCTGAATCTGCTGGAAACTTTAGTTCAAAACTTAACCCACCAGGCTACTGTTACAGCGACGAAATATGATAAAAAATTGTTTCCTTTTTTTTTCTTTTACTGATGAACAGCGTTTTTGGATGATACTTCTTCAATTTACTAGAACTTCTGGGGTGATTCTATAACTTTCGAGAACTTTTGGGGAGGTTTCTGTAATTCTGGAGCTTTATAAGAGTGAAAGGGTTAAAACCAATGTCTTCTTCCTTAACACGATGGAACGAGGAAGATGGGCAACAATGAAGTTGAAGCAGCACAGGTCAACGACGAAAACTGGCGCAATGAACAGTAACAACAATGAACAGTGCACAATTATTTTATTTTTTTTATGGAACGAGACCAGATCAGTGCGCATGATGAAATTTTTTTCTTTTTTTTTTCCTAGAACAGGAACGATGAATAGTAAGAATCCACCAAAGTGTCTTTTTTTTTTTTTACCTAGACAGCCGGTGACAANAACGACGAAAACTGGCGCAATGAACAGTAACAACAATGAACAGTGCACAATTATTTTTTTTTTTTTATGGAACGAGACCAAATCAGTGCGCATGATGAAATTTTTTTCTTTTTTTTTTTCTAGAACAGGAACGATGAACAGTAAGAATCCACCAAAGTGTCTTTTTTTTTTTTACCTAGACAGCCGGTGACAGTACGGTGAACAGTGATTTCGCGCGAACATTTTTTTTTTTTTTTCGATGAACAGCGTTGTTGAGATTTTTTGTGATTTATACGAATCGAATTAGACTCTGATACCAAATTGATGTAGATCGTATTAGGGAAGAATTAGGGATGAGAAAAGAAGAAGAATGGGATAAGAATAGAGAGAGAATTTTAGAAAAAAAATTCAATATCAATAATCAATAATCAATAATCAAAGTCTAGTCCCTCAACAAATATGTATCCCCTATATATATAAGGAATTCACAAATCCTATATATATATAAAAGGATATCACAAACCTTAAAATAAATAAATAATCAAAATGACAACTAAACCCTTAAAAGTTAAAAGAAATGACTTAAAAGCTAAATATTAAAAGTCTCTAAATAACTATCATAATTAATCTATAATATCTATCCAATTCCTACACAATCCCCATCACTTAGTTTATTAATACAAAAATCTGAATTTTAAGAACTTAGAAAATAGAGATAGTGTGCTTCTCAAGTCATCTCCCCCCCTAATTTGTTTGTTATATGTAGAATTCATAAAAGTCACGTGCAATCTTCTTTAAGAAGAAAACAACAAAAGCATCACATATGGCAAACTAGTGCAATAAAGTAATTTACACAAGAAAATACTCACTGTTATGTACGCATCCATATAAAAATCTTTTGCCTTTCCAATATGCCAATGGTCTCATTTTGATCCTTTTGCTTCGTCTTACCCCACCTGCTAATGATGCACCAGCATCTGTTGAGATAACAGTTATACAACTTCTTGAAGACAATAACAAAATTTTCAAGCAATGCATAATGCAATTTGATGCACAAATAAACACCTGCAAGGCTTTGCCTCCAGGAAAATGCTTTTTTCTGGCGTGGCTCATGCTGTCTTTTTGCTTTATTTTGCTTATTTAATGATGTACCTGGACATTTCTGAGATTTTGACAAACACATTGATCTTAAGTTAGTCAAAACAGGCATATATTGAAAAGGATTTTTCTAAAATAAAAAGGTACTCTCCATAAAGCATGGGATAGACGTGAAATCTTCTAAGTATAACCAAATGTAAGAAAAAATCATAATGCGACAATCACCCACTGATTTGTCACTCTAACATCCATTTCTTTTCTTTTAAGACATCTGAACCCTATCCAGGCCACAAATGTGCCAGCAGCATCAGTTCATAATTCATGAATGAAGAAAATCAGTCACGGTAAACTCCTGAAATCATGTAAGAAGTTCGTTGGGGGAGAAGAATAAGTAGAAAATTTCAGGGGAAATAAAACAAAAGCATCTTGCCAAAGCTTCTTTATTATAGCAGAAAGAACAACTACAGCTGGAAAGTACCTGGATAGGAGGAGAAACATAGAGGGAGAGAGAGAGAGAGACCTATAACTGATTTTAGTAATTAGAAAGTTCACTAGAACGTCAAATAAGATTCAATTTGAGAGGTCAATGCACCTCAGATATTAATAGATCAAAGAAAAAGTTTCCATAGCCATAAGCCACGGTTTACACTAATAGTTTTTCAGTGCCGAATTCAGTTCTGTCAAATGGAGCCTTTCATCAAATCAACTGAGCTCAGCTCATTTAACTAACGCTGATTCCATTATGTCTTGTTTGCTCAAATCAGACTGTTGTTAGCTTTATCTGGTGCACACTAGAGTTTTCCATACCATGACTTCAATACAATCGAAGGGTGATTTAGTAACAAATAATGTAAATAAAGATATGTAGAACTCACTAGCTACACAATTAGTGGTACAAGATTCTCAATAATACGGGCATGCACCAGATAATATCTTTCTACATCATGTAAGTTCAAGCTTTAAAAGTAGATATTATATAACAGATTTAGTACTTTTAGTTTACAAGGCAAGAACTTGCATAGCAATAAGAATAACCCAAGAGAAAATGATCACGATAGTAGGATACCTCAATGTATTCTTCTTGACCAACTTCTGAGGTCGTAGAGGGTACATTCATGTCATGGTCTCCAACTGCAGCAGGAGTTGATTTTTCTGTCGAAGAAACAAGAAAACACACACTTATCAAACTACAAATTGAAGGCATTCCAATAATATAGATTGTATGAGCAGTTTATCCATAACAAGAGGTGAAAGTACATGCTGAAAAAAATTTCAGGGGAAAGAAAACAAGACTTCATTGCCAAAGTGAACCACAATTCAACATCATTGTATGAGCTAATAGTTGTGAATTTGGAGTTAGGGCTTAGGGTTAGGATTATTATTTAGGGTAACCTATGTCGTGGGGCAATTTGAGGTTAGCATAACTATATAAGGTCAGGAATTTGGAGGATCTAGCTCATTAATACACTCAATTTGGGGTGTGTCGTCTAGAGTACCTACAATCCCAGTATCACTAACGCAGACCAAATTCCAGTATACAGAAGTAGAACTTGTTTGCAAAAGCTTCTCATCTTTTAAATCTATCAGTAGATTTGAGAAAGTCCACGAAAGAAGAAAAGGGGGGCTAGCAAATGATAAAAGAATGAAAAATCTCTTTAAGAGCTATCAACAGGATTGTAATACACCAGGCAAAAATTAAGGGATCCGGAAGGAAGAGAAGGGTGCTACCAAACGATAAAAGAATGAAAAATCTCTCGAGATAGATACAGGGTGTAACACTTGGGCAAACTTGGAGATGCTCCTATTACCCTCCTAGTTGGATAAGCAATCACTTGGCAGCATGCCATGCATGGACCAGGAAAGGAGAAAAGAGGGCTACACAATGATATTGGAATGAAAAATTACTTACGAGGTAGTGGGTTGTAAAACACAACCACAAAACTTAGGACGCTCCTAACACCCACAGAGTCACATTGGTCATCACTTGATGAGCACGCATTGCATGGTAACTGTTGTATTGACTGTGGTTACCAAAACCTTTATCTGGATCATAGAATCCTACGATCCAATACACTCAAATCCGACTGAATCTCTTAAAAAATCCCTGGTTCATAGAATCCTAATAGATTGATATTTGAATCATGTAGGATCGTAGGATCTCAATCTTAATTAAGATTTTATCAATCCAAGTTGTTATGTTTATTTGTTAGGCACCTTTAGTTATTGAGCTAGCCCAGTCCAAATTTATTGCTTTAATCCTTAATCACCTAGCACATATGTGATTGTCCCATACGGTTATCAGTTCATTAGTAAATTTCGATGTATGAGAAAAGCTAGGGAAAGTTCCTCATTACAAGAAGCTCTCTTCATGTTGAAAACAACGGTTACGTTAGTTCTCTTCTCCCTCAGCGATGATTACAACTAGATATGTCCTCCATTTTCATTCTCCACTTTTTTTTTTTTGTTGGACATCAAATAACCAAAGTTGTTATTCAATAGTCCCTTGACTTTTTTGTTCTCTCTGTTGTCTCTGTCTCTCTTAATTTTAAAATCAAAATACTCCAATCCTCCTATTACTCTTCACAAAATCCCATAAGATTAACAATCCACCCTTATTTTCCTATCCTCTTTAATACCTTGACTGTAATTTCTCATGTCTTAGTCATGTCGTAAGGAAGGTTAGCATAAATACAACGATTCATTTCCAATTTCTCAGGAAGATGCCAACTGTTCTTTAGGTTAATGAAAAAAGGAGTACTGTTTGAATGAATGGAACAAAAAATGCACCAAACTAGTGTTTCCTTATCTTCTTTTGATATATATTTACATATCGGTCCCCATNTTAATGAAGAAAGGAGTACTGTTTGAATGAATGGAACAAAAAATGCACCAAACTAGTGTTTCCTTATCTTCTTTTGATATATATTTACATATCGGTCCCCATCCTTTGTTAAATTGTATATTACACTGTGCTCATATATTTGTTTGTGGTAACATATCTGCATTTTGCATATTTTTAAGAAATTTGTATTATTATATATACTGTTACTCTTGTCTTTTCGGTTTGTAGAATCTTACGATTTTTAATCTAATTCTATGATCATTGTCCTTTAGCGTCCCCCATTGATCCAAGATAAGATCCTAATTTTAACCATTGTAGTAATAATCATTCTTTTGTGACTGACTCTGCTATTGAATGAGCATATCTGTATTATAAGTTTGTAGCCCATGTCTAACAAATGGATTGATTTATATGAGCATAAAACTATGGAAAGTTTTGAATTTACTAAATGGGGGGCACAACATGAGAAAGAAGGATCAGAAGGCGCTAAATTCCACAATGAAGTGAAAAAGTTTAATCAGTGTCAAAAATGAATGTCTCTAAACAAATTGTGCACTAGCTTACGCTCAACATTTACTTCTTATAAGTAACTCATTACTAGCTAATATATTCTCCCCCTTTCTTCTCTCCTAGGTTTCACTTCAAGTATGATAAATTCGACCTTTTCCATTTTTGAAAGGGAAAGTAGTTTCTTTGGTTGGTGATTGTTTTATTGTTTTGTTTATTTTTAAATCATTCTTGTGGAAGAATCATAAAAGAAAAAAGAAAAAAGGTCCCTACTAAAACTGTGCTAGAAGATGCAACATCCATACCAGCAACAAGCTTTATAATCTCTTAAATAACTAGCCATCTCTGCAGAGAAGCATATGCAGTAACCTCATCCCTAAGGAACGTTTGAGTATATTATTTTCACTTGTGGCTTCACTTCATATTCCAGAAGACTCGGGCAATATCATATAACTATGTCAGCCTAGATTTCCACCTGATGGTGCTTTTATAGCATTTAGGGTTTAACTAATCATAATTATCCACAAAAGAAATGAAGAAATTAGTTATGGACGTACAAAGAACAGAACTGTAATGGCTGTCACAATGGATAATCAACAAGCAGGTAATGTGTTGTTTGAAATCCTAGATCAGAGAATTGACTGCAGATAGGTAAAATAGGTTAGGTCATCTACCAGCAACTCATATCACATAAATGTCACATCATTCAACAGTGAAGCTAATAGTCTTATGAGGATGACTACTTGTAAAGCCAAGCAAAACACCACAATCGTACCAAACTGACTCTGACTGCTGTTCAAGTTTTCGACGGCAGAATCCTCCAGAATGACATCTGGTTGTGCAGAAGATGTTGCTTTCTGCAGAATATCTTCAACCTGCTTTTTCATAGGACATCACAATCTAGCTGTCAGTATTGCTACTTTCGCAATCCCCTTCGAATGATAAAGCCTAATAGGGGTAAAGAAACTTACATTGTCCTCCATTTCAATGGATCCATAAGCCCGCGTATCTGTATCTGACTTAGTAGAGCCCTCATCGATCATAGGTTGTTGTACAGTGGACACTGCTTGCTGAAACACATCTTCGNCATTTCAATGGATCCATAAGCCCGCGTATCTGTATCTGACTTAGTAGAGCCCTCATCAATCATAGGTTGTTGTACAGTGGACACTGCTTGCTGAAACACATCTTCGATCTGCATTTTTGTCTCAACAAATACAGCATTCTGTAGCAAGATTTCATAATCTACAATCTTAGTGCATAAAATGTGTGAAGAACGTCACATTCTCCTCCATGTCATTGGGCCCATTTAGCAGAACATCAGTGTCAGTATTAGGCCTACTTGCACTTGTATCCATAGTCCAATCACCCATATTTTGGCACCCACCACGATCCTCCAAGTCACCATGAGATCCAATTGGACTGAAAGAAATACCACCACATTGTCTGCTCGAGGTGTCATTCAAAGATTCGTCAGGTAGATGAACTGAACCTCCTGTTATCACCTTTTGTAAGCCTGTATTAGCAACCATAGTTTTTGTAGTTTCATCTCCTTCTAGTGACTTCAACTTGCTAGAAGTGCGAGATTTCTCCCGAATAACAATCTGTTCAGATTGCTTTTCAATGTGTTCTACAGAAGAATGATATCTGATGGCTGATAGATCCACATTAAGAGGTGAGAATGGATCGCGCAATGGATTTAACTGCGAAATCTGTTTTTTCAACAAAAGTATTGAAGCAAATGGACTTCTTGGTGGGGCGGGTGATTCTAGAGAATGCATGGAGCTTTCTGCTACTTGTTTATGTTTTGCAGGTGTTTTTTCCCGTATACCTTTCACCAAATTATGCACATCCGACAAAGAGTTGTGGCGTCTTGGCAACTTCTCTTGAAAAGCTGCAAAATCAGTCTTTCCAGTATCAGAAAAGTCAGGGAGGCATAATTTTCCTAGATCAAGAGGTTTGATCTGCAACCGCTCCAGCAAAAGAGAAAAAGCCCTATTCCCCTCTAAATCTTCATTATTACTGGATAATAATTCATGCAAAAGCTCGTTCACTCGGCTCTCGGTCTTAGCTATTGATCCTGTTTGAAAAATAATCAACCATTTTATCAGGTGCTATTAGATAAAAAAGAAAATATGCATAGACAATAATAGACTACAGCATAAGAAAGATAGGNATCAGGTAGATGAACTGAACCTCCTGTTATCACCTTTTGTAAGCCTGTATTAGCAACCATAGTTTTTGTAGTTTCATCTCCTTCTAGTGACTTCAACTTGCTAGAAGTGCGAGATTTCTCCCGAATAACAATCTGTTCAGATTGCTTTTCAATGTGTTCTACAGAAGAATGATATCTGATGGCTGATAGATCCACATTAAGAGGTGAGAATGGATCGCGCAATGGATTTAACTGCGAAATCTGTTTTTTCAACAAAAGTATTGAAGCAAATGGACTTCTTGGTGGGGCGGGTGATTCTAGAGAATGCATGGAGCTTTCTGCTACTTGTTTATGTTTTGCAGGTGTTTTTTCCCGTATACCTTTCACCAAATTATGCACATCCGACAAAGAGTTGTGGCGTCTTGGCAACTTCTCTTGAAAAGCTGCAAAATCAGTCTTTCCAGTATCAGAAAAGTCAGGGAGGCATAATTTTCCTAGATCAAGAGGTTTGATCTGCAACCGCTCCAGCAAAAGAGAAAAAGCCCTATTCCCCTCTAAATCTTCATTATTACTGGATAATAATTCATGCAAAAGCTCGTTCACTCGGCTCTCGGTCTTAGCTATTGATCCTGTTTGAAAAATAATCAACCATTTCATCAGGTGATATTAGATAAAAAAAGAAAATATGCATAGACAATAATAGACTACAGCATAAGAAAGATAGGCCCCAGTGGAAAGAATAACAGCATCAAGAACAAAACCAATCAAAATTGACATGCGCTCACTGTTTAATTCAATATCATCCACTCACCTGCTAATTCTATTTCCTGGGTTTCAACATCCATATCAGCTGTCTCTTCTCGTAAATCAGGATTAGGTGGACTGAGAACTTCTTGTTCCAATATGTCTTGACAGGATGTAAAAGTGTTGTTATTTTCAGACAGAACAGATGAATAGCAGTGCTTATAACTAACTGACTTCCTGGAACAGAAAAAAAGAATGTATAAACTCAGACACACATAAAGGTACAATAAATTTTGCAATACAGGCATTATTAAAGAATGGCTAATAAAGCAAGTGATGATACCCCAACATTCCTGGTCGACGACGTCGCGCATTCATGGATGAATTGTACTCATTTAGATAAGTCGTATTGCCACCCGTCTGTCTTTGTATTTCTTTTCTGGCATCTGCAAACCAATTACAAGAGAGGGCAAAAACTAGTTGCATGCAAACTACTGGAAAGCGTACTCAGAGAGGTCAAAGATCCAGGATTTACTTTCAAGCTTTTCGTAAGCAGATAAAAATTCCTCCGGGTTTTGGAGATGATCAATCTCCAAAGATGCTTCCAAACTCATGATAGGCTTACTGCCAAATCCATTGCATTGTAAATACAACATATATTTAAAAACAAAGTACAATGCTCAGGAAATTAAGCATCACCTTGTACCAGGCTTCAAAGAAAACCGAGCCCTCTTTCGGCCCGACCCAGGCCTTCGTTCTTGAGGGTTTTCCTTGCCCTTGGCTGCAAAAGTGCCATTATTGTCCATAACTGCTACAAAGCTGGAGTTCAAAACTTCTGAACCACCACTGATGACTGCCTTTGCCTTCTCTAAAAGCTTTTGAGGATTTCTTAACCCCTTATCGCGTACAACAGAAATAGAATAAAAATTCAATCACCACATTTGTTTTCCAAAAAAGTAGGTGGTTTTCGAAATCAATAAGGGTGGCCTACATGTATGATCTTGGAAATGTCCAAACACACATACTGAAGCATTTGGGTCAAAGAAATAAATTTTCATATCATATGCATGCAAAATGAATCTCAAACAACAAAATGTGATCATTATGTATGCCCTCTACCAAACTAAATATAACAGATCCAATTTCCCAGTACAGTCTCCTATCAATTTTTTTTAACTAATAACTAAATCGAAGCAAATCAATTAGCTCAAATTACTCTGTCATTACAAAATCACACACACACACATGCATGAACTTACATTTGACTCTAAAAATGACAAAGTAGACTAATTTAATACAAAATTTACACTTCACTAGTGAATGAAATTAGTGAAAACTGAACAACGTTGTTCAGTTTTCACTTACATAGATAAATACATAGATAAATACATAGATAAACTGAACAACGTTGAATACATAGATAAATACTCACCCTAGGTATGTTACTTGAAAACACCTAAACAGATGTACGGCAAGAAGTAGAACGAAAATAGATATGAAATATGAAGAAGAATACCATTGATTTCATGAAATCGTGAATTGATTGTAGGTCGTCGGGGTCCCTAGGGTTTGAGGGATCTGTGGAAGCCCTAATTGTACGAGGGAACAGAGAGAGACCAGAGTGACCATGAAGCGGATCCACCAGTTCGGAGTTCTGAATTTCACTCACCATCTCTTCTTCACATGACTGAGTTCAGTTTTGAGAACCCTAGAGTGAGACAGTGTATAGATCATAGTTTTAAAAACCGGTCTGAACATCAACCTGGCAAAGAGACCAGGTCTGACTGGCCCAACCATCGGCTCACCGGTGAAATAATAAAAATAATATTAAATAATTATAAATAGGCTAAAAAATTATAACAATTAAAAAAAATAAGTTAAATATATTGTATATTAGATCAAACAAAAATCCCAAAATTATCAAACATGCATCCAATATCAAATAAATAATATGAATAATTCAATATTTCACATCTAAATTCAAGCATATGCATTATAATTTACAACCCATACAAAGGATTTTTTATTTTTTTTTTAAATCTGCTCTCAAAAAATCTATTCTTCCAATTCGAAAGTTCCAACACTTCCAAAATTTCAACACGAGATAGCATAATCAACTACAAAATTACAAATACAAATCAACTAATAGCATAATATAAGAGCCGAATGAATCTTCAAATCAAATAATATCACAATTACAAACAAAATATAATAGCAGATTGTAGATAGAAAGAGAGAGAGAGAGAAACGCAATATATACTTGATACTGAAAGAGAAGGATGAAGATTTGCCATGGCCTGTGAGTCGAAGTTTTGAAGGTCTGTTGTTTGAGTCTCGAGATAATTGAGTCGAAGAGTTCAATGAATCTGAGATTTGAGATCTGAGTACTTCGATTTCGATCAATAGTTCGATTGGGCTGAGTGATTTGTTGCTGAGGCAGTGAGGCCTAAGTTGAGTACAGAGCGAACACAGGGG